CTGGTTATTTACACCACCGCTTCTTGTCCTGTTGTTTGCTTTTTACCCTCCGCGTTATGCTGAACTCGGACAGTCACGTGCGAACATCGCCGCGAGTCTAGAGAGAAGGAGGACGACGACTTCTCACCTGGTGTGTCCCTTTGACTTTTACCGACAGGGAAATATTCCTGTTTTTTTTATGTGGTAAGTTTTTTTTTTTCTTCCTGCCCAAGGAGCTTATTCTTTGACTTCTAATGTTAGGAAGTAGACTACCGCGCTTGTAAAAGTTTGCACCGTGTTGTTAATACCTGCTTTGAGACACTAGCTTGTTGTTTACAAGTTCCGCGTGGACTTTATGCGCTTTTTAATTAGTGACCGGCTGTTTCCTACTAAGCTCAGTTAATATGCGGTAAAAACCCAAATAAACACAACTTACAGTTTCACACCTGCACATTACATTACCGATGGGTATCAGGTTATAAACTACGATACTTAAAACATATAATATAGGAGCACATCACCGCTTTTTGTATATAGTTGCTTCTTAATAAGCCCACATGATCATTTACAGCTTTTAATGTTTGCTTTGACGTATTGGATTGGATAACTTTCTCTTTTCCAATTTTAAAGAGGTCACAACTTGCTATAAGCAAGTCAAATTTTGCATTTACAATATATATATATATATATATATATATATATATATATATATATATATATATATATATATATATTTTTTTTTTTAAAAGTGCTTCAGTAGCCTTCAATTTAGAATAATATTTAATTTTAAGCCCATTTCATTATGCATGCTTCATTGGGGGGGTAAAGAGAGACCACCGTAAACCAATCCATTCTAGTGTCTGTTGAATTCCATCACAAAAGCAAACCCCTGTTGTTCTTAATGAGGTACTGATTAGGTGATTACCTGAACTCAACTGCAATGGGAAAAACAGAGAAATGTGACATTTGTGATTGGGAATGCATAAAAAAAAAAATCTCTGTCTGAACTCTTTACAGGTTAAAATCACTCTTTTGTGTTTAAAAATGAGCATGAAGTTGTTTTTGTGTCATTTAGGGTTTGAAAATCAAATCTTTTTACTTGTTTTGGTCGCTTGTTATTTTGTATAATTCACTGACATTACTTATGCTTGCAGTTTTGGGGAAATGTTGTCAGTGGCTCATAGAATAAAACAAACAAACAAAAAAATTGTTTTCACAACGCCTACCAGTAAGTAGCAAAACCAGAGAAACTGATAATTTTACAGTAGTTTCTAAGAGCTGTACGTGTTTTTCTCTGTTGAATTGCCTTCGTTGTTCTTTTTAAAGTACACACACATTCAAAATTATTTGCTAAAATTTAGATTTCGTATAGGACTGGCGAAAGCCTTATCGATAGATATTATCAGCAGTGTGATCACCTTACCGTTGATGCATGCTCCATTTTTCAATATTCCACTCCAAGTCAAAAAGGGATAGAATATTAAGTCTTATCATGAAGATCCTGAAATCACAGCTCAATCCTAAATTTCTCCTCATACTCTTAAGTGTCTCGTTACCGCTCTTCTAATTACAGGGGATGGGGGGGGAGAAAAAAAAAGGAAACAGCCCTTTTTTGTTTTCAGAAAATTCTAACACGCTCTTCAGGCCTGTCTTCTGATCAGCTTTCAGCCCTCGGATTTAGCGGCAGCCACCCTTCTTGTTCAGGCTGCAGGGTGCACAGGTGTTCCCCTTCCCCAGTTATGCAGGTGTGGGCAAATCCCTCCTAAGCCCCCCAGCCCCACACACACAGTTTCACTCAGCAGCTCTCACTCTTCAAAGGCCAAAGCGGCAATAAATGCCCCTCATGAAATATGTCGGCGACCGTGCACAATCGGCCCCTTTATTCAAGTGCCCCCCTCTTATGATTTCTTAGGACATAATTAAAGCTGGCCCTGCTCTCTTGTTTACCTGTTGTTGGCATGTATGGTAGTAAGCGAGGTCACTAGGAGGCACTGTGTTTTTTTCCCCCCCTGAAGGCAATAGGAGAGATGGAGAGTGACCAATGTTGGGAGCAGCGCACTTATTACCCCGGCTCTCCTTTCTCTCTCGCCGCGTCCCATTTTTTGATTGCTGCATTCATCATCGGGTGGTCGTGCTCTACATTATGGTAATAGGAAAATGAATGTCCTCCACAGGATTAATGTGTATACCCTGTCATATGTTTCAATCATTTATCAAAATTAAGATTCGGGCTGCTTTCAGCTCGATGAACGCTGGCTGTTTGCAAGGATTGCGTCTTAAATATGGAAATGATTGCTTCTGTCTGAGGCGAAGCGGAGGGAGCTTTTTATTTGTTCATCAATTAAAAACTTTGCACGCCGTTCCTGGTGAATACAGAAACCCTTTACGGTGGGAGTTGCTGAATGATTTGGATATAAAATTATTTTAGATCATCACTGGAAAGCAGATTACAAACTGTTTTCGGACTGTTTCTTCGCTTTTGAGTTTCACCATCTCCCATCCCTCCCAACCCCCAACTCCTTCTGTAATTACACAGCCTGCTCGCTAAACCCCTTGAGGTGTTGTTACATTTCAGGGAAAGTGGTTAATACTATTAAGAGAGTGGTACACCAGCATCACTTTCCCTAAACACATCCCAGAGCCCAAATCTACTAAAACTACTCATGGATGGCTAACTTTGCTCTGTTACAGAACGTTAAGGCTTTTAAATGGCACCTGTTCAGGTTTTATCTCTGTTAACCTCATAGAAATGTTTCCATGACAACCTCTATGCAAGTTAAAACAACCTGAAGTGATCAAACCTGCTTTTTTTTTTTTCCGCCTTGCCCACTCTCGCACTTTGATTCTCTTTTCTCTGTAAGTAAGGATGGAATCTGTGTTGACAGTTTTGGCCTTTAATGGCACTTTTGTGCCGCACAAAAGCATTTGTTTACCAGGATCATACGCTGCAAGCTGTCAGACTGAGAGAGATTGACTTCTTAAGATAAAAGAGTGCATTACATGCTTAAGAGGCCACCCCTTTTTGCGCTGTAATTATCCACATCACGGTAATGATGTTTTGTGTGCCCCAGTTACTAAGAGTCTGGAGACGGCTCAGACTTTTTTAGTTACGCTCTGGGTCACTTCTTAAAGCCCGACCAGACTGACTGTGAGTCGACAAGAACCGATGTGACTCCTTGGCTGGAGAAAGCTGTACAGGGTGGGGTCAGGAGATGTGGATTATAGAGGAGATTGTTGGAACCTACTCGCTTGCAGTTTATAATCTAGTGTAGAATTTCCATTTTTCCCTTTGTTTTCATTTATGTCAGATGTCATGTTTGGTTTGTCAGCTTTGGGTTTCTCGGAGCCAGAAACAAATGGAACAAATGGCCAACATGAAATGGAAAAGGGATATTCAAAAAAAGTTGAAGGGAAACAGATTTGAAGGTTGTGTAAACAGTGATTTTTAAATGCATGTAAAATGTTTCATGGTTTTCATGCAGCAGTCCTTTGTGCCCTCTTCACTGTGCTACCCCTGTCCTTGCAGCGGTTCCTTACGCATTTTTACATGTATACATAGATATAAAAACATTATATAAGTTAATTACACACAGACACAGTCTGATGTTTTTGAGCCAATGTAAACACGTGGACAATTTTTAATACAGAATTGTTGGCTTAACGAAAAGCATGTCAAAATGCCTGCTTAAAGGTGATTTTCAAAGAATACTTTTAATCTGAAAAATGAGCCTTACCGGAAGGCGTACACTAATTTATTAAAATATGATTATACATGCTTTACCTTAATTTGGTAAAGCACAGCTATGCCAAATTAAAATTTTTGTACTATAGGTAATCAAATGCAGTCCATAGCTGAATATGAATCTTAAGTCAGTTATCAACTTTAGAGACATTAGCCAGATGCAGTGAATTACTTACAATGCAAAAAAAAAAAAAAAAATTCTTACAGTTTTATATTTCTTGTGGCGCCCCTAAACAAACTGGCGCCCTGGACAGAGAGCCGTAACATCCACATTAAAACAAATACTACTGGCCACAGACCAAAGGTTGTATTTGGTTCTCTTTTACTTCAAAAATTGCATGTTTACTTGCAGGTCAGTGCAGTGTTTGAGGCATCACTGTTTTTACAGTGTGAAAAATGTCAGTTTTGGGGTCTAGCCCTGACTAAAAGACACAGAGGGTCACTTGTGGTAAGAGGCAAGGTCGATGTTGCTCAGACCACATTCAGCCATCAGCCTTGTCACTCGTAAACAGTCAGACATCATGCGAGGCATCACTATAGCCAAGAGCAGTAGCTACCTCAGCCCTTGTTTGAATGCACGGACTGTTGTCAAGACATTGTTTGAATGTAAGATAAGTGAGAAGTGTTATGCGCCATCATCAAATCAAATTAAAGCCAGAAAAAGCCTGAATTATTTACTTGTATAGAGATTAATTCCCCATAATTGAGAACTAGCATAGCTGCTTTAACAATAAAAACATACTGTTTTGTATTGCTGAGTTTTATCAAGATATATATATAAAGGAAAAGGTCACACCATAAAGACTCAGAAAAGGAGAAAAAGATCTGTTTACTTTGAACATGTTGTGGGTGAAAGAAAAAAACATGGGTGGGGGGTTGGGATAATGACAATAACAGTTTTTGACAGGCACATTAGGCTGCAGAAAGAGCATCCAGCTCGAGGCTGAGGGCATATGGTGCTGCCTTCTGCTGGCATAGCTTTAGACCAAGTTACAACACTCGCGCAGGGTCACGACTGTCTCGGGTTTGCTCCTTCTGTCTCACCCATCTAAACAAAAACAGGAGGCATAATGCAAATGGGTGGGAGCTTAGTAGTGGGGGCAGTGGCGTAGAGGACCATGGTCAGGGAAAGGTTGTTGTACACTAGCTGCATGAATGCTGCAAGTCATGCCCCATTTGTGTCAGGACTTAATATGGTCAAATGTAGAGGAGAGACATTTGACATTTGTACAAATGCGTCTTTTTAACTTTTTTGGATTCTGTCACTGCCACACTGGCACGCATCTCCTCTCATCATCTGAACACCGCTCATCCTTTCAGTCCTTAATCTTATTCTAAACAATGGCAGTTGTTTCCACCACTTTGCAATGTGGGTCGGACAGACTTGGCTAATGTGTTGGATGACGCATGGCTTTGGTCAGAAGGCAGCAGATCGGTGGGCGGGTAATTACAGCCTTCTGTGTGCCTTCCTGGATTTTCCTTGAATCACAGTCATAGGCCGTGAAGTTCAGCTTCCAGTGCAACTCTTGAGAATGAAATGAAATAGTCAAAACATATGGAGCTAGCAAAACAATGGCTTATTTTTTATGATATTTGATGAGTGGGTTTTAATTTAGATCGTCACTTCTGGCAAACAGTAGGGCAGATGGTGCAGACTTGAGTGCCCATCAGAGCCTAAATACCCCCAGGCAGCTGTTGGTCATAAACTTTTTTTTTTCTTTTCAATTTTTTTTTTTAAATTTTTTTTATGCTCTTGCTCTCTTTAACACGACTTGGGTCAAGAGGAATCAAACCTGTTACAACACCTGTTTCTGCATATGCAAATCTGTTGTTTTGTCATTTCATTAGGCAAGGCAGAAAGATGAGGGTCCCTTGTGGTTGCAAATGCGACTGGCACTGAGCCCAACTGGCATGCCACGCAGCAACAAAGATGCTTGGGGCAGGGTTAGGGGAGCGCGGAGTAGTTGGAACTCAGCCACCAGGTGCCTTCACATCACCAGTTCAGTTTGAATGGGTTCTAAAAAAAAAGACCCAAAAAGATAATTAGCAGCCAGCCTTAGAGGTCACTCTCTCTAACAATATGTGTCTTTGTCTGCTGTGAAAAAAAACAATATTGTTTTAAATGACCCATTGGCACGGTGAAATCTGGTAGAAGCAGCATCATCTTCTGCAGAGACATTATCATTTGATAATGTCTGGAAGATAAATTAAGCTAAACAAATAAAAAAGAAGAAAAAAACAACCCCAAAAGAAAATTTGTAGAAGCAGCAAAAATAATTGAAACAGGGCCAGGAAGTAAAGCGTTATTGCAAAGTGGAAGGAAAATGGCATGATTTTTCAAAATAGTTTACAAATACTTTGTGTCTAGATGTGTGCGACTTTTTGTAAGGTTTGCATGTCTCCAGGGTCTCCCAAACATAGTGATTCCAAAAAGTTTATCACTTTGCTTCTACTTCACTAATATGCACAACCTTTATTTTGGTCAATCATGATTAAAATACAGAAGAGTCGGTTGTTGTGAACTGACGTGGAAAAGTAAAAGAGGTATGAATATTTTCGCACAGCAGATGCTGTGGAGGAAGGACACATTTCGAAGTCAAAACTGGCAAGCACGTGCCTGCCACGCGCCTGTTCCATTCTTCTCCACCCATGCAACGTTTTCTCCTCCTTTCCCTCCTCCCATCCTCATCCCTTCATCATCTGGCGCTCTCCCGCAATGCTCGCGACTTAACCACATGTGCCAGCGCCAGGCCCGCTCCTGCTCCGGGGCTAATTGTTCACTGGTAAACTGGGGGCTCGTCAGTGGGGGTCTTCCCCTTCATCCAGACGCAGGGATAATAAGCAGGTCGGTGGTGGTGGCAGCGGCGGTGGCGGCGGGGTTACAAATCATGATCCCTTCACGCAGTTTATTTTTCTCCGTGCAAGTCTGGAGATTGTCGGTTGTAATCCGTCCTGTGTGCTGAATGCAACAAATACACCATGAAATTAAAGGTTTTTGCACGAGCATAAAGCAAAAGCTCTGTGGAGATGGCCAAAGCTCTCTGATAGTAGAGTATGTTTCTTCTTCTCATCCTCTCCCTCTGATCATGAGTAATCCACCAATGGTAACATGTAGTTATTGACACTGTTTGATAATCTTTCATTTTAAAGAATCTTTGCCTTGTCTGGATTAGTTCGTTTCAGTTTTTGAGAAAAAAATGTGTCCCATCTTTCTCCATTTCAAATTGCTCTAATCTTGTACCACTGCTGTGTTGTTTTTTTTTTTTGAAGTGTCTCCCTCAGCCGACACTTAAAAGTTTGATGAACGGATGGAAAAACCTATAACTACCTTCGCCACTGAGCTAATCTCATCTGATAACTCAGGCCTTCCTCTTTCTCCTGTCTTTCTCCACCTCGGCTTGGTGGGTCTGGCTCTCAGGTTTGCCTCTCTCTCACCACACAGATGGTATTAAAGCCAGGGCCCCGCAAGCCCCCTCTGATACGGGAGAGTTCATTAGAGATGTGGCTTTGATGGGCAGCCTTTTCATGTGACTACCGGTTTTTCAAATACCTTGATGTCGAAGCTTAAGAAGGCATTGTGCAGTAAGCCCTCCTTTTGATGCGACTTATTTAGATCTGCATAGTAAATCAGGGGGGAGTAAATAACCAGCCAGCAGATGGAAGCAAGGAGATAAGGCAGTGGCGAACAATCGCATTTGTATTTTGTTATGATGTTGACAGCAGCTAAAATTCACTAATCTAGAGCCACTGATCTGCATTTCAAAGAAATCTCATTTAGCAGCAGGGAGGATAAAGTTCCACTCATTGTGTCTATTTTATTGCATTCTTCGCTAATTTATCTGCCCGCAGATTTAACGCACGGGGCTCTGTGGTGGGAGCCAGCGTCCGTGCGTTGCATAGGGAGGGTCTTAAATACTGTGAAAGCGGTTACGTCTAGACTGTGAGCTGAGGGTAATTACACGTCTGACCATGAATAGAATGAGTTTGAAGACTCATCTTTCTTCGGGCAGGCCTGAATCGCTCGACTAATGCTGATAAGGAGCGTTTGGTCCCCACAGAAATATTGCCAATGACTTTCCATAACACCCAACCCAAGGATGGTATTTACTTTTAAGATAAAGTTATTGTGTACAGTAATCTGACTTGTTAGCATAATGTCGTCTTTCATGGCAGGACGCTTCCCTTTTTTCTGCAGTGTGGAGGTATTTGCGGCCTGGGCCTTAAATAGTTTATCTTGACTTAGTGTGCGGGTGCTTTATGTAAATATTAGCCTATAGCATTATTAGGCCTTCATGAATACTTGAATGCATTTGCCATATTTATAGTTTGATAGAATTTACCAATGGTTTTACATTTGGCAAAGAGACACGTGTGGTATTTGGAAATCCAAGAATTGGAGGTTATGCAGACTAATGGGATGCCAGGTGCTTTTCTAGTGAATAAAATATGATAAATATACAGCCTAAAGGTGTTGAAGTGTATGTGGGAGCAAATAATTTAGGAATGGGGGTGTTAAATTTTTACGTCTGACGGTCACCCAAAACTGTTGGTTTTACAGCTGTGTTTATTCACATCAAACTAAATCAAGTTATCATTTCACTGTAAATCATGTACATTACTGCTTAAAGAGTAAGTTTAACCATCGAGTTCACACAGATTTAACTTGAAGAGATTTGACCAACGGGTAGAATTCAGAAGTAGTTAAGAAGTTAATTTTGCAGCAATCCCTCATTTTGAGTAAGTATATGGTTACAGTGAAAAGAAACAACACTCCATTTAATAGGAGGAAACCCCCAACAGTTCCTTGCTCAGTGTGAGAAGCTATGTGGTCGATTGGGAGTTGTGGAACCAGACCAGGCACAGACAAATAAGCACTGGCCAGAATGTACTTCCTGCATTGAACATTAAAAAAACACCCAATAATTGAACTGATAAGTTTAAAAATGATGAAATAAAAATATTTATTGACAAGGAATAGTTCTGAAATAGCTAAAACAAAACATGTGTAGAACAACTAAAAAATATAAATAGAAATAGAAAATATAACTACCGTTCTCAGTTTTTCATCTATGTCTGTCCCTCCACTCACCTTAAGGAACTAGAGGGTGAACCTCATGCCCTCTTTTAAGTAAACGTTCCTTGGCAATCGTTGTGAGTTTCTGCAACATTTTCCAGAAACTCACAACAGCACAAAAATTATCACAGTTGGCATGTTTTGTTTTTCGGCTGTTCCCTTTGAGCTGAGGGCTTTTTTGTACAGTTCAGAGAGCACATTCCTCAGGATTCAGCAGCCGCTGGTTGCCTGTAGGGGTCATTGGAATTCTGGGAGAATAAAAGGGGAAAAGCACACATGTGCACGCGCGTGTGCGCGCACACACACACAAATATGCACACTTCAGAGTGGAACATCTAGTCCATTGTGTAAAATTTGTGCCCCTTCTGCTACTGCCATTTTCCAAAGTAATTATTATTACTATTACTATTATTTTACTGTAAATGAGATGCATCAGTAGCTGCAATCTTGAACTGAGCACTTGTCCTGCACTGGTGTGATTAAAACAACAGAACCCTTCATCCTAATGGTTCCTAGCATGTGTGTTTTGATGCAGGCAGCTGAATGGGGTACATGAGAAAATCAATGGTGTCAGGTTAACAGTGTGATTTACTTTGCGCTGAGAGCTTGAGCCTTGCAGGCACAGCACCTTTCAACTTTATAGTGTGTGTGTGTGCGTGTGTGTGTGTGTGTATTGGGGGTAGTATATTGTACATTGCCTGTTAGCGCATGCACTTAAACACACACACACAGGCGCACTCTCAAGCTTCTCAGCCGATTCCAGGTGCACTTTGTTGATTTAAAATTTATTGCTCTCACCTACACACCATGCAGAAAATAGTTATGCAACACACCATCCAGCCCACACTTGCCTGCAATAGCAGTAAATGTATCAAATTCGGGGGGGGGGGACTATTTTGTGAAGCAGATTTGGCCTAACTAATAAGTACTTTCGGGTTCTCTCTTATCCTAGTGAACCGACATCGCCGGACTCCCAACCCAGCCTGTGAAGAACGTCAACGACAGCAAGTTTTCTCCCTTAGGGTGAGTGCTTGAACCTAATCCCCCTCATGTCAACTCTTTAACCTGTGGAAAGATTAGAGCAGCATTACGTATATCTTTTCATCTGTAAGTATTTAGATAGCAGTAAATCAAAACGTGCATCATTCCAAAGTGTGTTAAGAGTATTTTACTTCTGTGTGTTTGGATGATTGCATTGTAGTGGTGGGGGTCACAGGGTTCTCATTCCTCCTCTTCAAATGTAACAAATCTTCATCTTGTCCACGCTGATAGAATTCCCCCTCCACTGGGCAACCTTTCCATTGTGCCTGTTTGGTTTTCACACCCCAAGGATTTTCAATCTACTCTCACTTAGAAGTTATGCACTACGGCTGGCAAATGTGGCCAAGCTGAGATTTCAGTTTTACTTATTGTTTTGATGATCTCTTCATTAGAAGTTGTTCCAAGATATAAAGTGTGTCCTTGTTTAGACTTGTTACCAATTAGGCAAAGAAAAAAGATATAGAGCACAAACTCCAAAGGTAGTTTTTGTAAAAAAAAAAAGAAAAAAAAAGTTTTTATATTTTAGATATCTTCTTTTCCTTTTGTTCTCTTCTAGGATGAAATATGCACACTTTGCATCCATAGAAAGCAGAAAACACACTGTGTGAGGTGAAAAGTGGTAAGTGAAGACCATTTTACTTGACCTTCTGCATGTGTGATGTTGTGATAATGGGTATTGTGTTTGCTGTGATGAGCCACGTCAGTCAGTAACTGTTGAGGGGATTCAGTTTTAGTTAAATAGTCTTTGTTGTCGGAAAGAAGTGTGGGTAAGGTATACTTCCTTGGTCAAGGTTTTTGTTTTGTGAAATTATATGGAAGCACCACCTAGTTAAGAATAACAGGCACTAAAAATGAACACCCAATACATATAAATGAATAAAACTGCAAAATCAAAGGAAGCCCAATGCTATTAAGTAAATGAAAAATTATTCAACATAATGTTGAACAGATTGAAGGTTAGAGCTACAAGCAACTGTAAGCAAACTCATATATAATGTATAACTATTACAAGTTAATTGGTGATTGTGGTAGTAAAATATTTAAAATATTAAAATGTTTTTCAGAAATGCTTCAAAAAAGTGCCAGAATAAATGTAGTGTTTTTTTTCCTTTTTTTCTGGCTCTATGGAGTATAAGATTACATAAAAATCATCTTCACCACCTGTTGCTGCACACAATTGGTCAGCTGACTGTAAAACAATTACAATTATTTGTTAAGATCTGATCATGTGAAGTTTAGAATTCAGTTTTGTTTGGTTTTTAAAGCATGTGAAAAGGATGAGATTACATCAAAGCATCTTTCTTTAACCTTCATTTTATTTCATGAAAGTACATGCTGTAGGTCAGTATATTTATAAAGTAAAAATAGTTGGCGTACTTAATTTTGACTGAAAAATAAAAAAGGTATTTGACCTACCAATCAATGACCAGATCAAGAAATCTAATGAATTCCACTGTTACAGTGAGTCTTCTAATTGTCATTGCATATAGGCATCAAAACATCTGAGCAAATGAACTAAAAATGTTTCTAAAGTTTCACTTTGAATCAAAAACATAGTGCTTGTACTTCCTGTGGTTACATCCACTTCCCCTTTTAAGGTATTCAAAACTCCTGACATAAGTGAGAATGAAGCAGAAACATATGAAGCAGAAGCTTTTAGGTGAAGATTTATTTAGCAAATTTGTGAGATGCTGAACTCCCCAGCACTGCCGGGTTTCTTTAGTCCAGATTTCCACCTAAAAGAGATTTAAATATTAGTTTTTAATTTGTCTAGTACTTCAGTTAAATCTTCAAAGATGAATCCTTTCTGCATATCTGCTGGCCAGAAGAAGTTCTTCTAATCATTGCAGAAAAGTGTAATTACCCCAACACTGCAAGCCACACTTGCAGTGTAGACATACAAAAAAAGAAAAAAGAAAAAGGAGAACAGGAAAAATCTACAGCAATTAAGCACATCTTTTGGTTTCTTTAAAGAAGCTGCAGTTTGGACTCAACAGCCCTCTGCTCACATTTCCAGGCTGAAATTGATTTCTTGTCATAGATCAGAGACCTCTTGTCATTCCATTTTCAATCCCCAAATGGTTTCTCTGAGCTGCTAACTGTCATCCCTGTGAGTGGGCAAACAGGGGAAACCTCCATGGGTCTTTACCCCGGGCACTTAAAGCAGCCAATGGGGTAAAGGCAAAAATCAAAGGGACTCGGACCATTCCCCATTGGTAGCCTCTATTGTGTGGCCGGTTTGGGATTGGTAGAGAAGCTGAACACTGGATAGTGGGATGTGGGGGTGGCTGGAGATCAGGAAAAGTAACCCCTTTTTTTCTAATCCTTATCCACCATTAACCCCAGTGCCCCACTGTGTGGCTAAGATCAGGGCCCTTGGTCAATCCCCCATTCACTTCCACCCAGAATATTTTAAAGTTAAGCCCTGATACTTAACAAAAAAAGTCTTACTCATCAAAGGTTTACTTTCCCTGCTTTCCATCTCTTTGCTTTTGCTCTGCTGCCATTCTTGTCTCTGTGGTCTGCTGTTTTGTCTTTGCACTTGGGGAGAGAGAGGTGTTGAAAGTTTTGCAAGTTCCCAAGTTTCCATTTTTCAACTTAAAGTTTAGTCGGAGGTCTGATGGTGTCACGCTGTGAGCAAAGTGGAGCAAAAGTAGCTGAACCAATGGAAACCTGCCCACTGCTAATCTCTCTGATAAATAGACTCCTGATTTTATTCAAATTATTTCCATAAGGGAGGTATATTTTCCTACCTGATATTTATATCCCCAGCTTTCTTTTTCTCCTTAGACATTTGCTGATAATAACAAGACTGATTTGAGTCCTGATTTCCAACTCTGTGTAAACATTTCAAATTCCTCCTCTTTTTTTTCTCCCTGTGCCATAGCTTTTCCTAGCAACTGTCAGGCATTCGACACATCTGAAAGAGAAATGATTGAGGGTCAGAGTAGAAAAACAAGCAACCATATGGAGGTGCAGAGTTGACGGACGGGAGTGAAGAAAAGAAATTGCATGGAGAGTGTTTGTCCAGAGTGCACAGTTGCCATGAGAATGAAGGTGGAAAGTAGAAGAGGCTCAAAATGAGACTAGCCATCATTGCTTAAGAGAAGATAAAGAGTCTCAGTAAGGCTATTGATCCTCGTGTCTCTTATCTTTCATCCAGCTGTTTTCAAAGTTCCATTTTTTTGGCGGGGGGTTTGGGGGGTATTTTAAGGAAGAATGTGTACTTTAAAAATGTTCTCAGAGAAATTATGGAAAGTCTGCTTTTCCTCAGCAAAGGTGGCCTGAGCTTACTTTGGAGCCCCTCCAATTGTACTATGCACCTTCTTTTAGAGAAGGCTGACACTCTGGAAATGAGTGATTGCAAACATTGCATGCGCGACTCTAATTAAAAAAAAGCATCTAGTGTTTCATGTGTTATCCTTTCCCCGCAACCTAATTGGAGAAACGTCGGGCGCGGAAGCCGGGCTTGGATGGCATCCGTCCAAGAGCCAGAGATTATTGTGAAACCCAACCTGAGGCTGGGATGACATCAGAGAGGCCTGACTTTGCGCTGAACTCCGTCTTTCAGGTGGGAAGAATTACGAGCGGCTTCACTCGCAGGTGATCGCGTCCAGTGGATCAGTCGCACACAAGTCCTGCATTCTTCTCCCAAGGTCTAAACGCTGATTGCCCTGACAGATTGAACTTGTGTGTTATCAGCGAACTGTCATGGAGCCTCATTTTTCAGACTGCACACATAGTCCAGAGTTTATGTTAGCCATTCACCAGTATGGTGTTTTATAAGGGAAATTGTCATCACAACATAAACTAAATATACAGTCATTTTACCTGCTGGTGAACTATTTCAGTTTAGGCTGCCAAGACGTTGTTGCTATATCTAAAGTATGTGAAACATCTTTAAAATGCAAACGTCGTCTCAATGCCTTGCCTTAAACACATATGTAATCAATTAAAAAAATATTCTCTTCAGTATTTTATAAGCCTCAGAGGAAAACAAATAACTTTTAGTCTATGGTAGGGTTCACATTGTCTATCTAATATAAATAAGATTAATTTTCAAGTTTCTGATTGAATGTTGATTTACATAATTTTCATCTTTGCACATTAACAGTTCCTTTATCAGACGATAATAAATACATATTAGATAAAGCCTAAAGAAATCCTGACAAATATTTTATTTTTATTTTAGATTTTACAGCTGCTATAGAGCAGTTAATATTCATCCACCCTTACTCTGATACTCCTAATTAAAATCTACTTACATCAATTTCCTTCAGATATCTGTTTAGTAATTCAGAATGATACCATGCTATGGCAAAATAACAGTGTGGGATTACCTTACACATATGTTAGTACTACACCTTTCATATTCACTTTGTTCAACAGATATTTCAGGCTACCACAAATTTCTTGGACCTGTCAAAAAAAAAAAAAAAAAAAAAGAAAAACCAGATGCTTCACTCACCTTGGCATGCTAGATGCCTGAAAAAACTGTCAGCATGACTTGCTTTGGGCTCTGTTTGGCTAATAATTATCTAATCACTTGCACTTGATGGTGCTCAGAAAGCATTAGGAAGTCATCACTACACAGGCAGTTTATCTGTAAATATGATTAAAAAATAAAACAGGACAGTTCTCAAAAATGGTCTCACAGTAGTTCCACTGAGCCCTAAGTATACCATCACTATATTGAAACATGGTAGTGACTGGATCATGCTGGAGGATGCTTATTGTTTCAGTCGAGAATGGAAAATTGCTTTTCTCATGGTCTAAATTCAATCTGAAACATTTTTAGCTAGTTTATCTTCTTACTTGAACAGGTCATAGAGACCTAACCTGAATACTTGCAACCGTAGTTACAGCGCAAGTTGGCAGCTGAAAACAAAAGCCTGCCACACTTTTGAGATTTGATTTGTTTAAAAAAAAAGAAAATCTTGAAACCCATCTATTATTTTCCTTCCACTTTACAAAGGTAGGATAATTTCAAACAAGATCCCCAAAAACTAAATTGAAGTTTGTTTTTATTTTTTTTGTTTGTTTTTTTTGTTAAAGTGACAAATGTTGAAAAAATTCAAGTGGTGTAGATACTTTAGCAAAGTTTTATATTTTTTTTCTACTTTCAATCTCTCTTAGTGTAAACGTTTCAAATCAAAGAACGCAGTTACAGTCGGTGGAAAAGCTTTTACTCCAGAGGCAACAAGTCAAGTCCTTTGTTCGTAATGAACATTTGATCGCGGCTTGAAAAGGGATACCAGTGGCAGAAAAATCCTACAAGAGCTTCTCGCTAAGACTTCCTCACCACAACCCACAAGCCAGACAGTGCAACTGCTCCTACCTGGTTTGAGGCAAAACGGGTAGAAAGCATTCTTGTGTGTGTAGCGGTGGGGGGGGTGGGGGGGAGTCGAGAAACACACACAAACTCAGCCAGCATGCTCGATTTGGGTCATAGAGCTGACAGACAGTGGAATGTGAATGTGTGTATGTTGACAAACTCCACTGCACCCTGAATGGGGTTTGTGATTACACCTCATCATGCGTGTTGCATCGGCCCCTGTCTCCCCCCCCCCCCCATTCACCACCCTGCTCCCACATCTCTCCTTCTCCCTGGCCCTCGCT